AACAAAAAACATTCCTTCTGACGGTCAACTTGATTTCCATTCCGAACTACATGAAACTCAACTGTGAAACCAAAGACCAGAATTTCATCTATAAAATCACGACTAAGTCTTCGTTAAAATTAATTTAACAAAACAGCAGTGATATGTTATCAATATTTATCACGTATAGGACAGTTTATCATACAAAAAATCTTATAAATATTGTTACAGACAAAACTGGAAGAAAATTAACAGGTGGCCATAGAAACAAAAGAATTCCAATATTCATATCAGACAAAATATATTTTAACGAATTATGTGTGAAAAACGAGTTAATAATTATTAAAGAAGGTGATACATAAAAATCTTTAAACCTTGCACTTTGGAAAGACATTTAGTGCCAAACGCGTTTCGACTATAAGATGTCATCATCAGTGGCAAACAAATTAATTCATATTAAATCACAATTTATAAGACGATGGTTTGTTATAAAGCTTTATAACAAACCATCGCCTTATGAATTGTAAACAGTTTTGTTTGTATGCATGATTTTATATGGTACATAAAAAAATCACCGATTTTTGCAGAATTAACAAACAGATACATAATACATATATATGAGAAGAGGATGAAAATTTTAGGAGACTCGTAAACAGTGGTAAGAATATTATATCGAGTTTTTTAAACGATTAGCATTTATTCTATAACAACTAAATCTAACATTTGACAACTGTTGATAGGTTATTCAAATGACGAAATAATTCCATGTTTGCGTTGAACTAGAATATTCATCATTGTACGCACATTATTTTAAAACTTGACAGTACCCAGTATTATCCTAACGCCCGTTTCTTGGTCTGGCGGCTTCTTGTAACTACCCGTTACAAGCGGTCCATACCCAACCTCGTTAAATTTATTAATGATACAAATTCATATTATTCTTCAACGGGATTCCGTCAAAGGCCTTGTTTCTACCTAAATCTATGGTGTCAACTTGTCTCAGAAGGTCCGGTAGCCTTGTCTTCTAATCAATCTTATAGAAATCTTAGAGGAATCTAAAGTTTCCTGTATTCATGATACATGATTTTCCATGTTTAGCGGGAGGCCGCTCCAACTTCCGAGAGAGAGGCGGAGATTTTGTCTTGAAACAACCAACACCGAAATCGGAAACATTGTTCTCATCAAAGAAAACTATTGTAATTTATTCCTCAATCAAAATGTTTCAAGCAGCTATAATTAATATATGAACGGATTATTGACAAATTTACGACAAACACCTGAAAAAACGGAGTTTTTTAAAGTGTAAAATAAATTTGTTTTACACTTTACCAACGAACGTTCAGACAATTATTCAAATAGCGGGCCATAACGCACGCATGTAGAGAGAAATGTTTCGTACAATTCAGTACAGAGGTCCATAACCTTCTTCCATGATGGAGTTTACGTCTGGTTACAATGATCCTCCATTAGTATCATGAAAAAAATAGTCCATGTTTTCTGAACTCTTTTACAATCTACTTGTTTATAAGAAACTGATTCAATGTCTTCCTCTGACGTTTTCACATCGGGCGGATTTCTTGCTTTCTTACATTCCCTCCACACATTAGCTTTGATCTTCTGGTAAATTTAATTCAATTATTTATTTAAAGTGTTTGCCAACAGCAAGAAGCCAATAACAGGCAAACACTGATAATACATACAATAGTAATAAAATAATAATGAAAAATAGTACACAAACAGATTAACTAAACTTATACATGTACAGTATTAAATGTAACTGCCAAGTACAGGCAAACCCAAAATAGAAACAATATTAACACAAAGCAAAATAAATGAAGAAATATAAATAAAAACAAATAATCCACCCAGGGAACACTAATATAATTGCAAAACGTTAAACAAATATAAAAAAAACAGATAACGAAGCTAGATCATCTATCAAGACAACCTATCTAGATCTTTTCCCTTATTGAGAACGTGTCCTCAAGGGAGACAAAGTTTATGCTAAATACGTCCAAAGATTTACATACGTCATTTGCAGTGATGACGCACCTCGCTGAAGGACTATGTCTTAGTGCACTGCTCACACTAAAAGTAGAAAATCCTCTTATTTGCCTCGCCGGCACACGTAAACCAACAGCGTCCACAATGGAATGGCAATTTATTTTGCCCTTAAATACATTAACAAGAAATAACGCATCGAGATGTCGTCGTCTGGAATAAAGTGTTCTAAAATTTAAAGTAGATAGGATCAGTTCATATTTTCGGGGGATATTAAACTGAAAAAATCGGTAAATGCACAAATTTTCTTTGAATATTTTCTAATTTATTAGAATCTGTCTGTGTAAGATTATTCCAAACGACCGAGGCATACTCAAGCTTTGACCTAATTAAAGCATTATATAAAACAACAAGGCTGTCTGGAAATGAAATATTATAAGTAATAAAACGAATAAGCCCTAAGGTCCTTAGTGCCTGAATATAATGGTAGTTTGTAGTCTGTATATTAATTCTACGTTTCGTACTGTTTTCAGTAAAATTCAAAATATCGTTCGTCATTTCTGATCTTATCCTGTCATTATCAAAACCAAGACAAAAAATAAATTCGAATATATTTCAATCTGTAAGTTAAATTTAAATAATCTAACACTGGTAATTAGTAACAAGTAAAGCTTTATGTATGTTTGTAACTAGGTTAATCCCACCAACCAACTTGGTTTCGCGTTGTGAATATTAATCCTAGAGTTGAAACTGGGCTTCATTGCTTCAACAAACCCTGGTTTAGTAACGCAAAATTTAAATTATCCCCCCCACAACAATTTCCCTCTCCAACTATTCATTAACTGAGCAGAAAGTGTGGTAGGGGGACTTGTTTATTTTATTTATTTATTTATTTACAGTTTATTTAACGACGTCTTCAGTATCTAGATGACAGCGAGTAATGAATTTGGTAGAAATGTTGTGTCATGTTTCTCTTCATAAATATAAAAACTATTCGAATAAAACACACGTCAGATGCGACTAGTTACTATTACTTAAAGTTCTTCACTTAAAACGACATGTTTCGGAAATTATATTTCCATCATCAGGCCAAAGAAATAAATATTCGTAAGATCCTCTAAGTCGTAATGTCAATTAGTTAAAACCATTAAAAGATAGAAAATATAAAAAAATAAAATTTTAAACTGTTAAAGAAATTAAAATAAATCAACATTTTGTACGGGAAATATCCCAGATGTTTCATCACAATCACACTTTGAAATCAGAGTTGATGTAATGAATTGGAGATGATTTAGAAGAAAACGGTTGTGGCCTAACTTAAATTACTATCCCGGAATTTGATTTCAGTTACTGACGAAAATTAATCTGTCAAGATAGGCAGTCTTCGGACCGATATTTGAACCAGGGACCTCCCGAATACGAACTAACCACTAACTATTTCACTACGACGTTCTGAAGAACTTGAGATTTCTCCCATGTAGTAGTCAGGCGAATTGGTTTGTGTAGACTGAATCTGTTACACACTTCTATGCGTAATGCAATGTTTCTCCAGTATATTATTGAAATAATATAAACGCAAAATACACTTTATAAGCCTTCTCTCAATTTTAGACTTAGTGTAACAAAAATTAAGACCTTTAAATATTCTGAAGCTGCAAGTAATGTAAGCGTACAGCTGACAATTTAAATGAAACGCCCTGTATTTGAAGTTTCTCTAGCTCCCATTAAATACGATTATTTATGCCAGATATCTATTAGATAAAGGCACCAATTTGTCAGCTCAATTTGGAGATAAATTAATTAATATTAATGACTTTCTGAGTCCAGTAAAATTGGTTCCATGTCATCAATTATTCGCTGGTAGACATGTGAGGACGAGTGTTGATACTGAGGTCTAATATAAGAGTTGCAGTAGTAATTTTGGCATCTTTTACGTACGTGTTGAATTCCCATATTCATTCAAATTGTGCATTCACAAATCATTCAAGTTTATGTTTTAAATTTTCGTCTGGAAATCATACCGAGAACAATTGGTAATGGACACCTAAATATGCTTTTTGTGATATTCGAAAGAGAATGTGTAGGAATAATTAATGTTAGTGTGTAAAGTATACACATTCCAGTAACGTTTATTATCGATAACAGAACATTTGCCAACATTATCTATAGATCACTGTATATATTCGTGCGGAATTAGCAAGGGAAAACTTGCAAATTGAGCAGACATTTATTTTGTATTTTCCCGATTTCTGTTCACTAATATTTCGATTTAGAAGTTCCGTGCTCAAAACTGACAGCAGCTGATAATTTTATTTGCGAAAGAACATAATTTAGAAGTCATTTTGTTTCTTAAAGTATACCAGCTACATATATAAAATATCAATTAGTATGTTGAACCTTGAAAGGGGTGTTTTTTTAGATTTTGCATATTTAATAAGATATCCAGCATTCCTGAAGTCCATACTTAGACAAACAAAATCAGCAGTTGAAGCTCAAAAAATCTGTAGACATCGTATTAAAGAGACAAGATCTTGAAAAGAGACCCTTCAACGTTTGAAATATTAATTCATATTCTGCAAATAACTTGTAAATTTACGAAATAAAAACTCTTCTGATTTATGTTTTATTTTCAAGTAAAATTTTTTGTCTACACCAAGATTCGAACATGGAAACTTGCCACACAGATAATGTACTAATGATATAATTGCAACAAATCTCCTATGCTGACCACTTCTCTTCCAACAGATATCTATACTAAGGGGAAGTATAATTTTCCGTTTCGTTTTATCGTGGAACATTCTCATATATCGGAAAATTCATTAATATTAATCGATATTTTCCATCAAATTACACAAAAAACATTGGTATTTAAGCATTAAATTTATCTGTCATAAATAATTATAATTAATATTATTTATTCGCTTATACCATATAACTTGTTCTATTGTTTAAATGCAGATGAGAAACATTAGTAACATGTTGAATCACATATGTATTGAATTTTACTGATATTTACTTACCTACAGTTTCCTCACTATGCGAGGAATCTGCTGACATTTTGTGCTTGAACTGGACGTTGCTTGAAGGAGCAGGGGTAGGAGTCGATAAATTCCATAGCCTCTCACTATACATTCGTAGAAAACTGGACCTAAAAAAATATTTGCACACCTTTATATAAATATATATTAAATTGTACAGTAAATTTTGTTGTGTCAAAGCATTGATTTCAGTAACTAAAACTTGATATAAACGAGGGAGAAAAATAAAGCATTACTAAGTATATGGCTTACAGAACCCGAAGGTTCATCACCGAATTAACCAAAGCCCTCCACCGGACCCTGTCCTAAGCCAACAAAATCCAGTCTCCTTCAACTCCTATCTCCCATAGATCCCACCTAAGATTATCCTCCCATCTACGTCTAGGTCTC